TTCCCCTTTGACACCACACCTTCTTAAAGAGGCAGAGAAGCCCTGAGATGCAGCAGAGCCAGGCAGCTCTGTGCGGGCTTCCCGGAGCAGCTGATGCTGGGGAGCCGTGCCGGGCCGGGGCTGCTGCGGCTGCGATGAAAGGCGACAAGTGGGCTGCCAGCTGCTGGCCAAGGCAGGAGAAGGCTGTGACAGCACGGGGGAGGAAAAAAAAAAAAATTTAAAAGAGGAACTAGGAAGGAGAATCTGCCCACTAGAAAAGTTATTTTAGCTGCCAGTGTGACAACTCTCACTGCACGACAGCAGCTGTGCCAACCACGGGCACTGCCCTGGTGCCTGAGCTGGCTCAGCATTCTGAGCACACCCATCCTCTGCCATTGAAAGCACGGGCACGGAGATGCCAGAGCAGACAGAACACCATGCACACAGCAAAGCTCTGGAGGTCCACCAGCCCCTGGAAGACAGCGGGGCAGTGGGAACTGAGGGCATCATTTGAGGATATTGGATGAGTGTGCAGGATGTGCTGCTCCAGTCAAAGGCCTGCTTCCTGTCTGACATCTGGCCACAATCACTTCTGAAAAGTACCTGTGACATTTTGAAAAAATATGACAATATTTTCATGTTGCTTGGAGAAATGTGTCTGGAGATAAGAGTGTGTCTAAAACAACTCATCATAAACTGAAATAAAGAATAATTGAGACTTATGTATGGGTGTTTCCTCCTAAAGTACATAGAAAAGTACCTAGATAAATGTCTGAGGATCTAGAACTATTTTCACAGGGGAAAGGAAGAACTTGCATGAACCATTATAAACTTCCAATTTAGATTTTCAGTAGAGAGGTTTTAAGGAGAAAAGATGTCATTCTACATTTTGCAGAATTTGTTTTTAAAAGATCCATCTGTGGAAATCCTAGACTTTGTACAAAAAAAAGCAAAGTGACAGAAATCAGAATAAACCACTCAGTCTAGCAAAAAGCTGCACGATCTGCTAAACACTGTCTTGTGATGACAAACCACATGAAATGTGTGCAGCTAAGCCATCACCAGTGGCTAGTTTCCCCTGTGTCTTATTGAGAAGAGGTGGGGAGAAGATGCGTAATTAATACCCAGGGGAAAAGCAAGGAACATATGGTGAAGTAATCCCCCATTACACTCAAGTGGGTATTGAACAAATGAAATAAAATATGCTTTTGTAGCAATATTCCTCTGGAGAGGGTCCAAGCAAAGTAGCAGGGGAGCTGTGATGTGGCCTGGTGGAACATCATCCCATCAATTGCTTCATGCCTGGAGGGGCAGAGGAGGTGGGACAGGGGGAGATCTTCTGCTGAGAGAAGCCCATGCACTGCAATGCTGATAGGCATGAAGGCAGACTCATACAGTCTGGGTGAGTATTTAAGGGTAAATTTTTAAATTAAGTGTTTCACATAGTCTTTGTGAAAGCTAGAAGTAGGAGGACTAAAGTGAATGTTTGAAGACTGGGAAAAAATTACCTGCAAGAGAAGTTTCTGGGTGTGGTGTGACTTATCTTTTCCTGTTTCTCACTGTTGTTCAGTGAGAAGATGGCTTTGTAATTGCAGTTATTATCTTTACGTGATAAACTTAGTTCTGGTGACAAGATAAATAGTGTTGTAAGCAAGACCTCATTTTCCTGTTACTAGTTTTTTTGGTTAAGTAACTTATGTTAGTTATAGAGGAAGGCAAGGCACAATGCAAATATACCCTGTCCTCTTATCCAGCCTGTGAGTAATATTGTATTGTGCCAGGTAAGGACTTAAGGCTTTGACATTATGTACAATGATGTTGGAAAAAGCTTATGTTGCTTTGACAGAGATAACTTTATAATGATAATCTGCAGTCTGAAAAAAATTCCAAAAAACAACAAAGAAACAAAACTGTCTGCTTTCTCTTTCTTCACCCTGAACAGACTTTTTCAGGAAAAATTACGTCTGCAAAATGTTGCCTCTTAAATTTGTAATTAAAGTTCCCTTGAAATTTCAAAGCCTGGAATTATTTAGGGCACAGATACCCTGGCTGATTTGCTGTGAGCAAGGCTAAGAACAGCTCTGCACCTTGGTCTGCCCCAAGTGACTGGTGCAGTGTAAATGTGTCCATCCACGCTCATGCCTCCAGCTTTCTAGAGAACCTTTCGGAGAAGAGATTAATGGATGAACTAGACTTTAATGTCAATCAATAAAGCTTGTCTATTTGTGGGTGGCTGGGGTGATGTCAGTGTTAGAAACTAAGATCTAACTCATGCTTCACTGCACATTTTGGATTGGGGTGAATGGCTGGGTTGGGAAGGAGAAATATTGCTGAGGTGTTCCTTCCTCCCATGTGGGAAACCCACTTGTTTGGGGACTTCTTGAGACATATGCTTTCAAAATTCACAGAAAATGTGACAAAACATTGACAAAGAGATGTGACAAAGAGATTTCAAGAGGTTTTGCCATATACCTTAAAGACCCTGCGTTGTTATTTTGTGTGGTATTGGGGGAACTGATGGAGGCTGCATTAAGCTTGGGGTGAAAATAAGGTTCAGTGAGCTGACTGTCCCAGTTTTCCATACTGCTTTGAGCCCAAGGGGAGTGCTCTGGCTGTTGCACTCAGGGATCACTCAGGGTATTGCTGGACAGGTATGGATGCCCTGACCTGCCTGAGTACCCTGCCAGGAAATGCCTCAGCTTACAAACATGGGGACTTCAGAGTAAAGTGGCAGTGCTGGTGCTTGCTGGCATACAAAGTGCATGGAGATGAGGAAAAAATTGGAAGTCCTGCCAAAGGTGAGGTGGCCAGGTGCCAGCTGCACAGAGGTGTGCTGTTCTCTCCCAGCACCACCACACTGCCCAAGCACCTGGACACTGGTGTGAACCCTTGGCTGGTTCACCCAGATTCTGCCCAGCAGTCTGCCCTGAGAGTCAACAGGTACTGTTGTTGCAACTAACTCTTTATGCAGGCAGCATGGTAATCTCCTGTGGTCACAAGTGGGAAACCCCCTCTTTGCACACCACCTTGTAAAAGCACCACTCAGACTCTCTCCAGACAGAGCCTGCAAAGGGGAAGATTCCTCTTCAGACCTATCAGGTGATGCTGAAAAATGTTCCTGAGGTATCCTTAGTCCTTCAAGCTGCAACGTAAAGTCCTCGGAACTGAGAGTGACAGGGAACTCCGAAAGGATGTTTCTCTTGAGTTAAAGCTTTAAGCCTTAAGACTTCCCTTGGATTATGTCCAAAACAAGCTCCAACACCAGCTCACCACTGAGTGGGGCCAGGGTGTTTCTTTCCCAGAGAAATAAATACCCCCTGTAGAAGAAGGTTTTTTAAATTTCTCCTCTGGGGATGGGCTATCCTATGCTCTGTCCAGGTGAACTGCCATATATCTCACCTGCTCTGTGGCAGCACCACACCTGGGATCCTGCCACGAGGGACTGCTGATGGCACTCACGGCATTGAACACAGCCCAAATCTGGGCTGAGCTTGCAAAGAGGCTTGGTGCTAGACAGGGGAACCTAACAACCTGCCTCAGGATTCAGCAAGCATAGACAAGTGTAGGTATACTCGTGCTGAATTCTAGTCACCACAGAGCACCCCACAGCACAGAGGCTGATGCTAGTTGATCTACTGAAAATTTGTTATTTTTTATATATTTTAATTAGAAAAATAAAAATGTTTCATTTCTTCTTAAGATTTTTTTTTCCTCCTGCATATAAGCTAATCCAAGAACTATTTAATTCTCGCTTAAATGGCACTTTTGCTTCTGGTAGCAAATATACTTTAGGTTCTTTTACTTGTGTTCCTATTCAATCTTAGTACAAATATTTTAATTTTTTTTTTTTTTTTAATTAATGCTGTCTTCTTGGAAATTTTCAGTGACCTGATAGAGGAAACCATCACCACACTATTTTCTCATATTGTGTTTGCAGTTCATTTAGCCCTGGTACAACACAGCAGTTGTGTAGAATTAAAAATAAAGAGCATCACATTTTCCAGACTGAGGGCCTAAAGAGTCCTTCCCTTGGCTGTGCTGGAGCAGCTCAGCAGAGGAGTTGCGTGGATGGTGCAGACATGTAGGAGTAGGGAACTTTCTGCACTGCCACATAATGCCAAAACTTGACGGTTGAACCCTAACCCAGCACCCTGTGTGTCATCCATTTGTTCTTTTGACATCTGACTTGTTTACAGCATGAACATATCTCTCCCACATAGAGGGATTGAAACTCCCTGAAGTCTAACTTCAGATGCCAGGAGATAGGGTGGTTTGCACCTTTTCCACAGAGGTAGGTAAAAAGTTTTACTAGTATGAACATTTTTATAGGGTTTGACTTTGCTTATTTTTCTTGTGGATTAGATAGGTACGCTGGGGCTGCTAAACACTAATGATACTGGAGAGCCTTTGCAGTAGGTAATCTCCCTAGGTAAACTTTTGTCTGACGCCAAAATTCTTTGCAGCTCAGACTAAGCTAAAATTATTAGACGTTTTCAAAGGAATTCTTCTTTATCAGAACATGAACATTAGTACAAGGAAGACTTTAGGAACATTTTGTATATCTTTCCAAATCTGAATTGTGCCCACATGGAGGGAAATCTAAAATCCATAAAGGATTTATATAATCCAATTAATATCAGTCATTATCCTTTGGAGATAATAAAACTCTAAGAACAGAGAGAGAAAATGTTCAGCAAACATCTTGGTTCTGTATATAACATTTCCCTTAAATAATAATGTAATGGAAATTATTGTTCATATGCGGTACTAGTAAATAACATCACTTCTTTTTTAATGCAACTTACACCCACAAGTCCTACAAGAGTTGCTAGAAGAAGGAGGAAAACAGCCAGTGTCATTCTATTTTAATTATTAAAAAACAAATTTTGTTTAATAACCCTGATTCAGTGCTTTACTCATGTAAAGTTCTATCCTGGTTGATAAAAGCAAATACATAGACTTGTGTGAGGTATTTGTATTGGTAATGTAGAATGTTTGGGCAGAAAAATCTAGCAACTCTTGCTAGCAAAAAACCCCATGCCCATTAAACTAAGAACTGATACCCTGGCACAATTACTAATACATTGGCCATAAGAAGTCTTTACCACACGAATTCTCTAGTTATTTTCTGCAGAGATCAGTGCCTGATTTGATCTCATTCCACATTTTCTTTTCATCTCTGTTCAGGAAGAAAATATTAAGTCATTACTTAACATTTTTTGGTACAAACCAAAGATCCCAAGAAACTGGGAAAACTAAGTATGGATGAGGAAGAGGAGCTACACAAAATAGCTGGATTAGCAAACTAGACCCATTGAAACAAATGCACTTTAATACAGGAAAGTACAAGGTGGGGTATTACATCCTAAGAGCAACAAAGAGAACTGGGGGCACAGTGAACAAATAGCACAATATGAGCTCACAGTTTTACAGGGGTAAAACTCTTTAGGCATTTCCTGGTAAGCTAACAGAAAAGATGCTTCTTGCCCCCATATTTCTCATTGCTGATATTTTTTTTTTTTTCATGCTTAGAATTTAGTAATTCTAAACCTTTTTATTGGTTCTTCTCAGGTCTCACTAAAATCACAATTTTATCTTTATTATTAATATTTTTGCACTACAAAGAGAGTATTTATCCCTTGATTATGTCAGTAAGTCAATACAGAAACAGATAAAAGCCAGCTAGATTAACTTCTCACTTCACTTGTTCATGCCACAGTGGTTTATTCTCATCTCTCTTGATAACCTTGAAAACCTCAGAGTAAACAAGTGGGTCCTCTATTTGCCCCAGTTTATAACATTAATCACCATGTAAACCGGATACAAATTCCCTGGTACATCTCAACTGTATTATAATTAAATAAGCTGAACACTGATCTGAGGCTATCTGTAAGTGATGTACAGAAAATTGCGACTCAGTTCTTTTCCTTGTTGTTTGAAAAAAATTCAGATTTTTGTTTGGTCAGAAAAGAAACTGATAATGAAGCCAGGTAGGTCTTTGATATAATTCCATTGTCTACAGAGGAAAACCCTATTTTCTTGAATGCATTATTAATGCATGTCGAGGATATATTGATTTTGGCAACTGCCTTGTCATTAACACTTATTCCAAACAGCCCTGTCCTGATACATCTCCATTTGGTCTGATTTTCTACACAAATGAGAACATGTTGGCTCTGAAATATGAATTTTTTTAGAATTGAAATATATTTCTAGAACACTGTTAAAATAACCAAGGAAATGGTAATGAAGCAATGGTAATGATTGATAATTCGTTAATATTTAGGTGTTGTCCAGTGCAGAGACATGTGTGTGGTTTCACATGCTCCCTTTGGGCAAATCATTTTGATTCCTCTATATTCCATGGAGTACCTGAAAGAAAACAAGACAAAGAGACTTCAGAAAAATGAAATGTCTCAAAAAGGTAAGACTCAGTTGATCCCAAAGTTATGGGATTGTTAGTGTGCAGTGAGTACATTCTCGATTCAGATAGAAATAATTATTGTCACTTAACTATCATACCTTTCACCTCAGAATGCCAGTGCATGATTTAATCATCAATTAATTTAATCTCTTAACTACTGAGGAGAGCTAAGTGTTATTTCTCCAATTTTATTTGGAACAAATATAAATGAAAGAAGTGAGAAGTTTATTACCCAGAAACACAAGACATTTAAATGCCTAACACCCATTGATTTCAGGAACCACTCGCTACCATAAGTTTGGAGTGGCTCTGTCATTTGCCATCTAACTGATTAGTCAGGAATGTGTATTGCCTTCATTTTCTAACTTTCTCCAAGAGGAAACATCTCCTTAGAAATGGTTGTGGAATTCAGTTCATCAATCACCTGGACACTCCTGGTAGTCAAGGAGGGGTAAGACAACAGAGTTGAATTCCACTGTGCGTGTCTGCACCGCAAAAACGGAATACCAAAACACAACCTACACCAGCTGTGGTCATCCACTTACCCTTGATATACAGACATTCACTGGAAAAAATTTACAAAACATATCCAGGGGATTTCCACATGGCCCTTGATGTTATCTTTAGTGATCTAATTCAGTTTCGGAATAAAGCACTCATTTGTACTTTTTCTTGTGTGTACTTGCCTCTGCTTCAACCAGCTCAAAACAAAGAGATTTTAAACATTTACTGGCTCCACATGCCTATAAACTTATCATTTTCTCATTTTTATGATGTCTGTGATGTCCTGTGCTTATTTTCAATTTATTGCAGGCTTTTCTGGATTATCGGCTGATATTTTCACCATTGCAGTATTAAAATAGAGATTTAGTCAATCTTTTATGCATTAGCAAGTATTTTAAAATAGTTTATGGCTTTTTGGCTGGGAAAAAATAAATCACAATGTAATCTATATACACTTTCTCTGGAACTGAAAATATTTAGTTACATCCTGAATTGCAATAGAAAAAGCATATTGATAAGAGATTAAGTGCAAACACACCTCTGGCAACGATAATACAGATGTTATTAGTACAGATTGAGATTTCATTGTTGACAAGAAGAAAAGAGATACAACCTATCCATACCTGTTGTGTTTGGTGCTGGACTTTGTTGAGATCTTAATTTGAAGTTATGTGCAAATAGGAAGTGCTGTTAACTCAAAAAGGGTAAATAGATAAATACTGTGAAATTGGGAAGGTTCAGCATTTTGCAGAGCATGGCCGGACTTCTGCATTTCCAGAGATAAGTCCATCTGCAAGACAAAAAAGGCAAGCATAAAGGAGGAACCTTAGTGGCTAGAAGCTTTCAGGAAGCTGCATTTGTGACCCTTACCTTCTCCAAAGCCTCAGGGAATAGAAGAACGTGATGCCCTGGGAGCTGGCTCAACAGTGCTAGCGAATGCAGATGCACCTATACCAGCATGATAGTGGGAAAACAGAGAAGCAGAAACCTCGTTGCACTGTGAAATGCAATCACAAGTACTTTGGGAAGTTGGCTAAAACTGGAAATGCTCTGTCATCTATTTAGCACATGCAGAAATGGAAAATATAACAAAGCTCTGCACGTTAAAGATCATACTGTTCCTGATCCCAGCCAATGGATGGCAAGTTTCTCTTCTGGGAGGAGAGAGTGAGCTTGTATCAGAGGACAGACGTGGCAGCGAGATAACTCAACATAGTGGATGGAAGTCAACTTACAGTGTGCAGGGGCACAAACAAACCAATCCTCAGAAAAAATTTTACCACTTTGAGGAGTACTCAGTGTATCGTGGTGCTCAGAGTAGAAAGCTGGTGCAGCTCCTTTGCAGAGGAGATGAGCAAAGATAAAGGTCTGATGCAACGTCAAACTATCTGAACTGAAAGTTGGTTAATTAAATAATGAAAGCCTGGTGACAAGAAATTCTGCTTTGATAGGTCCTCTGCTGAGTGCACAAAAGAAAAAGCGAGAGGAGGACATTCTGGTGATGAATATGTTAAATTTGACATTCATCTAGACTTAAGTTTGACAGGGCCTGATGGGGTTGAGTTACGCGTTTAGTGTGAGTAATGCATTTTGAACTTTAATGGTGCACATTTCTGATATGACTCAAATGCACAAGAGAGCCAGCAAACACCGCAGGCTTTCCTTTCACCTGACCTGGCACCAGCCTTCAAAGAGAAGGGCTCTGCCAGGGGTTATCATTTATTGTTCTATCACAACTGCCCAAACTTCCCTTTTCCTAAAAAAGTCTCTGGAAATGATGACTTTTCTTTTAGGTAAATGTAGGCTGGTCTAGACATACCCATGATTGTGAAAAAGCTATGGAATATCATCCTTTTTTTTTTTTAGGCTGCATCTTAATAGTGTGTAAATGAATAATAATGTCATCTCTTCCCACCAAAAAAATGAGCTTTGTCCTCATTGCAGGTAATAAATTACAGGATAAATAAGCTGTAATCTATCATGCTGAAATACCTGTTTGGCTACTTTTGTTGCCTTTAAGTAGCTGTGCATTCAGGACCACAGCAAAGGCTAAAACACCTAGTTCCCATTAAACTGTGGCAATCCACCAAGACAGCATCCATTTAAATGCAATGACTTTTAGCAACAAGACTTGCCCAGGTAGGCTTGCCTGTGTGTCATGGGGGTGCCAACAGCAGAAATTTAAGGTGCATCTTTTCCCTCCAAAATGTATAAAAGTAAGTAAGAGACTATTTTTTAAACATTATCTGACCAAATTTCCATCTTATTTATTCTACAGAATATCTCATTCCTCAGGAACAGGAATTGGTCAGTGGTGAGCAGCTGTATTGTGCGTCACTTATTTTTCTCTAGTTTTATTCCTCTCTTTCTTTTTAATTACTATTAATATTATTATATTGTTGTTTTTGTTACTAGTATTTTACTTTATTTCAGTTATTAAACTGTTCTTATCGCAACCTGTGAATTTAAATTATTTTTCTGATTCTCCACCCCATCATGAAGGTGTGAGTAAGTAGCAGTGCATATTTTCACTCCAGAACATATAAAAGGAGTAACAGACTTTTTTTATAATAGCTGGCCAAATCCCCAACAGAACACCTGGAGTAAACTTGCAGAAGCAAATAGAATTATTACAGCTTTACATGAACACAAATGTTACTGGAGTTTGCAGCAAGAGGTTTACCCAGCATCACTGCAGTTTACACTCTTCTGTCACCAGTGTCAGGCAACAGGAAATTTAATGAGTCCCACAAAAAATAATGTTAGCATGTGGGATTTCTGAGCAGAAAATCTCATGCTATGCCGTACTTCATGCCGTGACCAAATTCTGCCCCATGGTGCTCAGCAGCATATCTGACAAAGGTCAGTAGGAAAAGCATTGTTTTCAAAGCACAAAGCACCACATGGAGTTGTGCTCCTCTTAGCAGATCCCCAGCTCACTGGCTTTGCTTTACATTGTAAATGAGAAGGGGATTTTGACTCCTTCTTGTCTTGTCATCACACCCAGTAGTGGCTCTTTTAAAACACAGTACTGGCTGGGAACTGGACTAACTCATGATGTGCATTTCTATGAGCTCATATGAATCCCTTGACATTGAGCCACAAACAGAGAAGAAAACCTAAGATCCTCCTTCCCCAGTAATTCACCAGGGGAAATCTGAATTCCTGCCCAACACTATGTATGTGTACTAGAGCTTAACCCAAAAAAAAAAAAAAAAAAAAATTGCTGTGGGGAAAAAACCAGCCAAACTAGTAACAAGAAGCATCATTGCTGTCAGAGATGAGGGGTGGTGGGAGAGAGGGGAGTTTGCATTCATAACATTCACCTTAGTGAGGCTGGAGGAGGGGAGCAGTCTGGATAGTGTGTTGTAGACTGTCTTTCAGTATTAGACAGAGGGGATTTTTTTTTTTTAATTAAGATTAGTACAAAAAGAAATCATCATAAAATTCCCAAGCAAAATTACCTGCTCTTATTTTGTCTTTGATTATTTGATGGATGGTACAATAGGGGTTTTCTATTTAGTGTGTATGTATATATATATATATATATATGCATAGAAGCTTTTTTCCAATTGACATTTATCTTGAAAAATGGAGATGTAATCACATGGGGCTGACCAGGTTTCCTACAGCAGCTGTTTGTTTGGTTGAAAAGGCCTGCAAGAGCCCTTGGTGCTGGGCTGCCTGGGAGGCAGTGGGTGGACAGCCATGGCTCTGACCAGACATCAGTGGCAGGCAGCTGCTGGAACCTGGGCAGACTCACTGAGCTGGCTTAACCACAGCTTGGGAAGTGATAACATCTGTGTAGGTGCAGGACTGGGCTGTGAGGTACATATGTGTGTCCTACTGCATTGAACAGCTACATGAATAACCCACCTGACAGCCAGAGGCAGTCTTCTCCAAAATAACCATGGATAGTCAAGGAAAGGGGAGTTAATGAAGCAGCAATTAAGTGAATTAAATGAAACTCAATTAAACCCCTCATCTTTCTTACTATTCAGGTAGAACAACCCTTCTGAACCAGGCAGGGTTGATGCTAAGAGTATCACTGATGTGGGAAAAAGGATCAGCACAGGAAAGACTGAACAAGTTCAGTTTAGACAATTGAATCTGCTCCCATAAGAGACATGTTTGCTGCTCTTTGTGTTAGATGTGGGACCTGAGAAATGAAGCACTCCAATATACTTTTAACTCCAGATTTTAAGGGGCCTTTGCAGGTTAATATAATCTGAAATTATAACTTCTTTGCGTTGTGGTTTTCTCCTTTGGTGATGTACATATTACACTATAATCTCCTACTCAAGTGTGCAGGATAAAATTATGCAGCCACTGCTCCCCTGTGACTCTCACTTGAACAAACCATGCATTATGTCACCATGATGAACTTACATGCACAAAATTATGCTGAGCATGATTTTTTGGGGAATTTATACCCAAAACACATATTCAGCATCTAAACACTAGGAAAGTCTCCATGAATTCTCTCAAATCCTTCACCCTCAGAAGTCCTTCATCACCTCTGTCAGTAAAATCTCGAGGTACTGGGGATATCTGTGGTGAGTTTGTGTCCCAGCTCCCACACTGCAGAAGCCTTCCTGCTGCCAAGGTCTCAGCAAGACTCTCAAACAAAGCATCAGCCTGGACACATGGACTGCCAGGTCTTGCTTCTACCAGATAACCCTGCTTACTCATGGCCTCCTAAACACAGCTAGAGATGAGCAGGGGAATTTTATAATTTTTGTTTGGTAGGTTGACTATCCTCTTGACATAGCTGCTCAAAAGCCCCTGCTGTGTCTGTTCAGAAGAGGAGCTGAGCATCCAGTATCCCAGTCTCAGGTGGGAAAGACACCTCAGCATATCCCAAGAGCTTTGGTCTCATGATGGGGGCCTATTTTTGTGTGCTTATCCTAATCACTGAGCTGCCCTTTCTCCTATGCCTATCACTGGCAGTATAAAGGCCATAGCTTCCAGGTAAAAGTGGTTTAACTGACTTCAGGCAACTTTGAGACATGGGGTGAAAGAGATTAGACAGTCTGCAGCAAATGCAGGGACATCAAGATGAAAAACAGCTGGCAAAATGTCTATCAGCTCAGTAGTTCAGTGTTAGGTGTTTCAATCTAACACAGTATATGCTGTTTCATGACTCCAAATGTGTTAAGCAGCCTAGTACTTCAGATTATGCCAAGGACTTGCCATGCAGAACACTGAAATATCAGAAGATAAATCTATGTACTCTCTATACTGAAAAAAGTGCTTTCTTCTTCTCTATATCATGTTATCTGTGAATTGACTGGTTATATCCATGAGAAATCCAGAAACATAGATAATATTCTAATAATCTTATATCTATCTGAAGTATATCCCTTCCCCAAATAAAATGAATGTGTAAATCTGCACAGTAATCCCTTCCTGCATTATGCTACAAGGAATTCCAGTATAATAGAAGCAGTCATTAAGCCATTTGTTTCATATTGGGATTGTTTAGCCTGGAGAAAAAGGGATTCAGGAGAGACCTTATCATGCTCTACAACTACATGAAAGGCGGTTGTATCCAGGTGAGAGTCAGTCTCTTTTCCCAGGTAGAAGTCACAGGACAAGAGGAAATGGCCTCAAATTGCATCAGAGGAGTTTTAGATTAGGTAATAGGAAAAATTCCGTCACTGAAATGCTTACCAGACATTGGAACAGCCTTGTCCAGGAAAATGTTTGAGAACCCATCCCTGGGAGTGTTCAAAAAAGGTGTGGATGTGGCACCTGGGGACACGGTTTAGTGGTATTAGGTTAACAGTGGGACTCAGTGATCTTGTTGATTTCTTCCAATCTTAACAATTCTATGATTCTCTACCAGTTTTGCCTTTCTGCTAAGGAAAAAATCTCTGGCTATCAAAGTTATGTGTCTTAGAAAAGAGCCTTCTTTTCTAAGTGAAGTGGTCACAAAAAGGGAGACTCCAAATAAAAGTTCTCTCTTGCAGAACAGGAAGAAAAAATAGATGAACTTGAAGAGCTGTTTGGGCAAAGAGCAGAAAGAATCAAGAGGGTCAAAATCCCCATGGGACATAAGGGAAATACCAGTGTATTTATAAAAAAAGGCCCCACTAGCTCTAATGTTCCCACACAAGTAAATCACAAGAGACAAGCTGGGCACTCATTTACATGGGAGCTTCAGAATGAGACCGGCCTCATGTGACTCAAGGGTTATGAGTAATGGGCCCAGAAAACAGCAGAGAAAAATCAGTGTGATCTGGGGCATTTGATCTGAAATCCTTCCTCTCTGCAGAAG